GTGCAGGGGGGACCCAGCCACCTGCCGCGCGGCGCGGGCGGGAGGGTGTGCTTTCTGCAGAGGATCACACCGGACTCTCCTCGGCCGCGGCCAGCGGGCCGAGCTCCTGACCCTGAACCGTGCGAGGGCGAGCTTTTCAGGGGCTCGGCATGGAGAAGGGTGCAGAGCCTTTGTTGGTGACGATGTGAAGACGTGGATTTTGCTTTGCCGGAGAGCCCTGTAATCTCAAGGCCTTGTGGTTGGTGATGTCTGTTTCAGCTGCCGCGTTCTGTAGATTAGGGATTTCATAGGCGGTGACAAAGACCGAGACTACGGTGGAATTAGCCAGGGAATTTGGAGTTTCTGGAGCTCCAGTGGCCTCTCTGTGGACAGCTTTAGGCTGGAAAGATGCAACACGGCCTTGTAGTCCTTTTTACCCTCCGCCAGTGCTTTGGGATGAGGTAGCCTGTGGTTTCACAATAAGCGACTACTAAAACGACAGGTCATAATGGTCCTGAAAAACAGCAATGGTTTCGTTGTATTCTGGGAAAAGAACAGAAGCACCTCTGTGATAAAGTATTTAGGAATGATTTTTGGGTAGTGAGATCTTACTACTACTACTACTACTACTACTACTAATTATTATTATTATTTTGCAACGTTAAATCACTCATTGTTGACCACTAACACAGGCACTTCCCTTGACAGGGCTCTTAGAGAAGAGGAAAGGAGAGGGGAGAGGTGCTAGTGATGTAGGATAGGATGTAAAGGAAAATTCTCCAATGGAGTATAAAGGTACAGGTTTGAAATAGTCTGTGAGTTATATCCACATTAACTAAAATGTTTTAAGTGATATCTGTGGAATTAGAATAATGAGTACTTTTCACTGCTCCCATGTTCTTTTCTTTATTCACGCATCTAAACACAGGCTCCCATCAAACCTAAGGGGAATCATATGAGTTTCTGTTGTTTTTTCCCTTGTTTAAACTAGTCAATTTTCTTTCCCTTCCTCCTAGCCGGGGTACTGATGAAGAGATATTAGACTCCAAATTTTCTGAAATACATTCTGGAGCGGTCCATACCATTTGAATTTATTGGGGTGCATTGTTTGTTTTTTAAAAGTTGATAAAAAAATGTTTGACTTAAGAATATTAAAATTACCTGGTGTTTCCATTATGGAAGTTACTGATGTAAATATGCCTGAGTACCACCACTTTCTAATGAGCAGCTATGAATACTTAGACATATTTTTGCTGGAAGGATAAGTTGAAGCAGGTTTGGGTAGTACTAATTCTTAGACCTCCTGACTAATTTTGTCATGGCTTTAAAAGGACAAATAAACTGCCCTTTTGACCTGCTTCCAGCAGTCAAGAGCAGTTTAACACAAAGCCCAAGTGCACTCGCCTGCCAGAGAAAGTGCCTTCCTTCTCCAGAAGGGAAGTTCTGAGGTGTTTAAACCATTGAGGGTTTGTAAAATGCAGCGTAAAATTGGCATAGAGATCTGGTAGCAGTATGGGTGGCTTTTCTTCACACACCCCTTTTGTTTTTCAATCAAGTACGGTATGTACTTCAGAAGTTTACTACAAACTAAATGTGTTTTTTGTCCTGCCTGATGCTTTTCACATGAGATTTCCTACTTTCAGGATGTGGGCTTTCACCAGCGATTTTAGGTAGAATTTCTATGCCTCTCACTTACTTTCTATGCCTTTGCTGAGAATCCCCTCCATCCACCTCCTCCCAGACCCCAGTCAGGATTGTTAAACTAGGGGCCAACTTTTTTCACTAGTCAGAGTTCTGTGACAGATGATCAGATTAGCTAGTAAAAGCATTGAGGAAGAGGAAGATGGAGTAGGCCTGGTCACACAAATCAATTTGAAAATGATAAAAAAGGAAAGTACTTTCAGTTTATTTAATGACAATATGTAGAATATATAGGGGTGTGTATGTGTGTGTGTGTGTGTGTGTGAATTTTTTTAAAAAATCATGTGATTAAAGTAAATTTGTGAGCTATACATTTTCCTTTTGATTGGGAAATAAAAAGGAATTTGGAGCCCTAACCGGTTTGGCTCAGTGGATAGAGTGTCGGCCTGTGGACTGAAGGGTCCCAGGTTCGATTCCGGTCAAGGGCATGTACCTTGGTTGTGGGCACATCCCCAGTAGGGGGTGTGCAGGAGGCAGCTGATTGATGTTTCTCTCTCATTGATGTTTGTAACTCTCTATCCCTTTCCTTTCCTCTCTGTAAAAAATCAATAAAATATATTTTTTTAAAAAAAGGAATTTGGAAAACAGTTTGGTCTAAGTGGAAGATTGATTTTTTCCTCCTTTTGGTATATAACGATCAATAAAGTTTGTGTTGCTTATATAAATAACATCTGTTATGTAGCTGGGTCCAATCAAGTTATTTACCTTTATTTTCTTGCTCGCATAGTTTTTACGTTTTACTTTTGCTAGTAGAATATGATGTGTATAATTATGTTTTCTGGTGCTCTTAGTCCATTTAATGCTGACATTTTTGTGTCTTCAAATGGCTTTCAAGCAGAATTACTTCTGCCCTTTGACCCTTTTGGATGACTTTTACTTTCAAAGATTGAATATAAATGTTAAAATGGTTTATAGAAATAAGCTAGCCTTGATTTTCAATTGAAAGATTGACATAAATGACTCCTGAATAACTTTTCTAGTTAGCAGAATCATAAATACATGCTGATTTATAATTGCTGAACTGACAATAAAAATATTTAAGTGTTTGTCAGTTTGCTCTCCACTCTTTTTATTATAAAGAACACTGATTAAAAAAAAAAAAAGAAACACTACTTTTTTTTTAGGCTCTTTTGTGTTTTTTATATCATATGTTCTACTCTCTTGCCTGATAATTGGTACATATTCATTTCCTTGGGCAGCTGGAGAGCTGTTGGCTGATTCCTAGTGTGAAGCAATGGAGGAAACCTTTTGATGTTCAGTGTTAGTTCAAAGTTGTTACTTAGCTTGGGAACACAGGTCCTCTTTGGATTGTTTCCTTGGGAATATGGGGAAGATTAGTATGACTTAGTTATTGCTTATGGGAAAGCGGATGGAACCACTTCCTATACAACGTTTCCTGCTTGCATAATTGATGCTGTCTTAGTTATGTAAACTAGCTATATGTTTGCCTGACATTTCATCTATGCCAATAGTAGGCCTTAAAGGAAATGCTTCTCTATGACTATTCTGCTTACTCTCTGAGATGCTTGTGCAGATAATAAATGAGGAAGGAGGCCAATTTGATTATTGCTTTTAATACATGTGGGCATAAAGAAAAACCAAACATTTTTTTTTGGCTAATCCTCACCCGAGTATATTTTTTCCATTGATTTTTAGAGAGAGGAGAGAGAGAGAGGGAGAGAGAGAGAGAGAGAGAGAGAGAGAGAGGTTGCCTCCCACAGGTGCCTCTGGGGTAGAGATCAAACCTGGTACGTAATCCAGGTACTTTCTCTTGATCGGGAACTGAACCCAAGACCCTTCCTTGCACGGGTAAACGCTCTAACCACTGAGCCCCAGCCAAGGCCCAACTTGCATTTTATTTCATTCTTTAAAACATTTAATAATGTTTTCAGTGGATATTTGTTCCCTGCTGAGAATGCAGCTGTTTCATTTTAATTTTTTTTTATATTTGGAAGATAGAGCAAGGGGTGGGGGAACAAGAGTATCCCATAAAAACTGCAGAAGAACTTTATTCTATATTGTTTGTAATTTCAGAATTCTTGTTTAAAGGAGGTGCATAAGACTGCAAAATGGCCTAAGGCTGAAGATAACATACATGCTTTCAGACTGAAACCAAAAGAGTACTTTGCTAATATTTGGTGCACTCTTCAAAATGAATGAGTTTGCTCATCAACACACTTAAAGTTTTTACTTTTTTCTAGATGTAATAAAGCTGCTTTGTGAATTATCTGTATCAATAAGTAGTACTTAGTTCTCTTACTTGCTAGATTGCGTTATAGTTTGACATTTCTCCACAAGTCATCACCTTTATTTGACAGTTATTGTAGCTGAATAAAATATAACCTTCAATGAGAATTGAAGGAATAAATACCTCTTCTTTTGTAGTGGAATGTGTTACTTCTCTTAGATACTTGATAACCAGAGATGCTGTCTCCACCGCCTCCAACATTGTCATAAAAGAAGTGAGTTTCAGTCTTTTATACATGATATCAGCTAAAAGGCCAAGAGGGAATGGCCTTCTAAGTCTTTTATGATAACACTAGAGACCCAGTGTGGGGGGGGGGGGGGGGGGGGGGGGTAGGGTAGGGAGAGGGTCCCTCAGCCTGGCCTGTGTCCTTTAGCAGTCTAGGAGCCCTCGGCAGGGGGGGGGGATGTATGTCCTTAGTGCTGCCTGGAGGTGGAAGAGGCTCCTGCCACCGCTGCTGTGCTCACCAGCCATCAGCCTGGCTTGTGGCTGAGCAGTGCCCCCCCTATGGGAGGGCACTAACCACCAGGGGGCAGCTCCTGTGTTGAGCGTCTGCCCCCTGGTGATCAGTGCATGTCATAGCTACCGGTCATTCAGCAGTTTGGTCCATTTGCATATTACTCTTTTATTATATAGGATTCATTGTTGGTGGGGAGGGTTGTCTTTATTCTAAATACTATGAAGTCAGAGCTCATGTCTTTCATTGCTTAAATATCTAGGGGTGTTCTTTGGAACTTCATTCTTTCCTTTTACTGCTTTACTCACTGAAAGGAGTAATGGCCCTTCCTATACATAGCGACACCGATTTCCAAAAATTTATTTGAAAATGATTTTTTGAAATCTATAACACATTTTCTTATAGATTCACTCAACTGGGCTTGTTTGTATTGTGTATGTTTGTGCCTTTTGGGGAAATCTATTTTTTCAAACTCATTTTTTATTGTGAAATTATTCAAACATACAATTGAGAATAATAGAACATCTGCATACCCCCCATTGGCATTATTAAATCTTAACTTCATGCTATGTTTTTAATTAATAATAATAACAGAACAAAGTACTATGGAGATGGATTTCTGCTTAGCACTAGTTTTGTATAGAAAACTGCCAGAAACAGCTTTTCCCGCTAGGGTGTAGGAATTCCCCCGACCATACCCGGGTGAAGTTTTAGGATTAGCTTTGGGACAGAGTCCAGAAGTGGGGGTGCAGAATAATCATTTCAAAGAAATGTAGTTCAGTCTCTGGTGCTGTCTCCTGCTGTAGTTGCAGGCATGAGTGTAGTTGGGCTCCTGGGGCTGTGTGAGGGGAGAGCTGCAACTGTTAATGTAAATGCACAGATCAGTTGCTCATCAATCAGGGTTGCTGGTCACAAATGCATGCGCCTCAATCCCGAGATCACACACCTTCCCCGGGAGTGTCTACCACAAAGGGAAACATCAGAACTGGCTTATCCTGTGCCTCTAGGAGTGTTTGCATGAACCAATGTACATATGTAAAGTTTAGTAAGTGGAGAAATCTTGAAACATAACAGAGCTTAGATCCTAAGTGTGTCTTTGCTGAGACTGGGACACTCTTTGGGTACAGAACTATCATAAACATTCGATTAACCAGTTATTTTTTCTTCTCTTATTTCTATCTCCTGTAAGAAACATTGTTAGTAATACTTATCCCTTTTCTTCAGAGCAATGGAGTTAATAAAGGGAAGAATATTTATACCCGTATCCTATATTCCTGCTACTTAAAGTGTCGGCCTGCTGGACCAGGCAGGCATCACCAGGGAGCTGGTTAGAAATGCAGAATCTTGGGCCCCCATGCACACAGACTGAGTCAGTGCATTTTAACTAGATCCCAAGGTGATTGTAGGTTAAAGCTTGATTCTATATGCTACGTGCACATTGTCAAAATTTTATAGAAGTTAAACTCCGAATGGGGTAAATAGTGGGTCATTTTTGGTCCGCTATCCTTAGAAGTTGGCTGTTAGGTGCCACATTCTTTAATGCCTTCATTTTTGGTAATCTCTAATAATATATCAGTTATATTCAGAATTGCTGATGGAGTCTCTCTCTCTTTCTTTTCATTTAGTTGCATCATTTTTCTTGAAGACATTCCATTATTGTTCATTGACCTTTCCCTGACTACTGAGTCCTTTGGATTTGAGTTATGTCAACAGCTGCCTTAATTACTTTGGTTAGAAGTGGTGGGAGCCAGGTGAGAAGGAGAGTGCTGCTAAGCTCCCGCCTGCTGCAGGATGACCGGCGGGTGACACCCACATGCCACAGCTCCACTTCAGAGCCCAGGTGTTCTCGGTTTGACCCAGATGGTAGTGGGCGTCCAGCCACCTGGGATAATTTTGGGATCTGGGACAACCGCATTGATGAGCCAATTCTGCTACCGCCCAGCATTAAGTATGGCAAGCCAATACCCAAAATCAGCTTGGAGAAGGTGGGCTGTGCCTCACAGATTGGCAAACGGAAAGAGAATGAAGATAGATTTGACTTTGCTCAGCTGACCGATGAGGTCCTGTATTTTGCGGTTTACGATGGACATGGCGGGCCTGCAGCTGCTGATTTCTGTCAAACCCACATGGAGAAATGCATCATGTACGTAGGGTGATTTTCGCTCTTGAACTTGCAGTTTGCCTTTATGTTTAAACTTTAACCTTTTGGCTTAGATGTTCAGTGTTAATATAGTTATTTGAGTGGTTTTATAATTGTTTCATGAATAAGAACTAGCTTAAGCATTCCATTTATTACTGACGACTATTACCATTTCAGAAACATATGTTTTAACAACTCCCCCGGTGATAGCATTGGCCATGTTAAATATCAAAAATTCAACAGAGCAAATTTTAAATATCTAATTGGCTTGATATCTAATTGAATGATCCCTGAATCTAGCATCCCATCTAGCAAATAGAAAGGGGCTCCCAGGAGCTCAACCAAATGGAAGGCTTTTGTAGGCAGAGGGGAAAAGGGATAAGGAAAGAGCAGATTACTTCTCCCTCTGATTAATGGAAAGAGCCTATGTGGCAGGTTACCTCATTTGTGCTAACCAGAAAATTCCAGACTGACCAGTTGAGATTACTATTCCTGGGAAAGGTTGGAACTGCAATTGACTTAGGTATTATTAAGCCTTGTTTTGGTGGTGTGGGCTTAGCACAAGTGACTCCATTTTGGCCTATTGTTTCTTTTAACAACCAGAATCCATGGTACTTGATTTGTGATTATTTCAAGTGAATTAACATAAAGTACACGATCTCATGTGTTATAAGAATCTATTGGAAACATTTTACTAGTACATGGTACCTGGTGCTTCCATAAATAGTAATTATACTCTCAAGTGGCATGAATAGCTTTGAACACTTGTTGAAAATAGCTTTAGATAATTGGCATTCGTATGGGGAAATGCATTTAATGTGGGTGTTTTGGAGCCCTTTACATAGTTTATTTAATGCAATTAGTATAATGTATTTTTGAGGATCACACTACTGCTAGCATCAAAAGAGGGGGAAACGTGACAGAGTTGTGGCTATGACTATGTCTTGTCTTCCTGTGTATAGTTGTTCATACTGTTCATTAGGTGACTTAAGCGTATTTTGCCTTGTTCTGCAGAAGAACTCAGTGACTTAATTTAATAAGGAAGAACTTGACCTTTCAGGGTAGTATGAGATGTATGAGGCTGCTGCTGGTGTAACATGGTTACTGTTTTACAGCAAACTTATTTCTGATACATAGAGAGAGTACACTCTAAAATAATAAGAAGCATAGAATAGTAAATCCATTAACAGTGTTTATTATCATTATCAAGTATTATGTACTGTACATGCTAGTAATTGTAGGTGCAGTAATGATTAATCTTCTAATATGGGAATTTAGACTTTTATTTTAGTGTCCTTAGAGGCTTTATCACTTAGGAGACACTTAACGAGCACCTGAGAGGCAAGCCATGGGGGTCCATTGTAGGGAGTGACTGCTAGCTAGAATGACCTGAAGGAGAGGAGATGAGAGGAAGAGGAGACAACTATTGTAAAATGATATTTTGGGGCTCTTTTTTTTTCCCTCTCCACAAAGGGATTTGCTTCCCAAGGAGAAGAACTTGGAAACTGTGTTGACCTTGGCTTTTCTAGAAATAGATAAAGCCTTTGCGAGTCATGCCCATCTGTCTGCTGATGGTAAGTAAAACAATCACATTCCTTAGGGTCCTGGGGAATATCTGGATAAAATGGAAACAATTTAAGCTCTTTAGGGGTGGGAATTTTAATGGAACTTTATTTGTAAAAATGTTTATGTGGAAAATGATTTTATATAAAGAACCACTTTAAATGCTGTTTGGAATCCAAACTAATGGTAGTACCTCCCTTTTAAATGAAATATGTGTATTGGAGAATTTTTCAGAAATTGAAGCTTCAAAATGGTTTTGATATTGAAATCAATTTTAAAATATTTTTAAAAACTTTTTTATCTGTTTGAACATTTTATGGACAAGATATCCATACTATGAGAGGGTTTATTATTTTTGTTTAGATGAATCTGATGAACAAATAATTGAAATACACTACACATCATCTCATCTAGTCAGGACAGTTATTGGTCAGGCAAGGAGAAAATTGCTAATTGGTCCTAGACAGGAAAGGACAATGACTAGCACATACTACTTTGTATAATTAGAATGAAGATATTTTTTCTCCTCCTTCTTAAAAAAAGCTTGATCTTGCACATTCCTGTTGTAACTAGTGATATTTTGTTTTAGTGTTAAACACAAGGTGAATTTAAAATTTTGTGTGCTGCTTGTTCTTAAATATTGAAAGTACGTAAATGTTTCTGATTTTGACTAAACTTATCAAAACCATTTTAGAAAACGTAGTTAATGTTTTCTAGTTAGCCGGCTCCCATAGTTTTTGCTTATAAAGTTAATTTTGAAAACTTCTGCAACAACCATATAAATGTATGCAGATAGAATGAAAATGAATCATGCAATAATATTAATGTATGTTTGGTTCATCCTTTTGTTTAAAGTGCACCACAGAAATGTCATTTTCACAATTTTCTGTTGGAGTGCCTGCAAATGGCAATTCCCCCCAGTTCCAAGATAAGAAACTGAAACTCAGAGAGAGACAAAGGGCAGTTGCTGGGGTTTTCCTGCACCCACTGTGGCCTCTCTCCTGGGCATATTTAATGATGAGGATTAGAGAAAATGTCTCTAGGATGACTCATTAAGAGGATTTTCTGCTTTTTAAAAAAATTTATATGAGCAGGGGAGAGAGAGAAACATTGATTTGTTGTTCCACTTACTTATGCATTCCTTGGTTGCTTCTTTGGGGATCAAACCCTCAACCTTGGTGTATCTGGATGGATGATGCTCTAACCAACTGACCTACCTGGCCAGGGCTTCCCCCTCATTATTGAGGAACTTTTCATTGTCATAAGCCTCAGAAAAGCATTAGAGTTCATCTTTGTTCAGGGATTCATTCAGGCTAATTTTCCCTTTTATTCCTTTGGACTTTTCTTCCTTCTAATTGATCCCTCATCTTATGAAAAATAGGGGTCAAGAGAGGGTAAATTTTAGGCATAAGACTATTCTTAATGGGTAAAATATATGAAGGAAAAAGGAGATTAAAACACTTTCTGATCACTTAATTTTTATAACTGAAAATTGGTATCCATATTGGTATGCTTATTTCTTTCATAACCAGATTGGCTGTATCTCATACCACGCTGTTTACCAGCTATGGTGCAGGTGCTGTGCCCTAGTTGTTCTATAAACAGGCAGAACTTAACCTGGCAAAGTTTTCAGAAGAGAATGTTCAAGTTCAACATGGGAATGTGGACAGCAATCCAAAGCATAAATCCTTCATGGGTGCAGCCAACCTTTTTGTAAATGATCTAATCAACAGGATGCTTAAAACAATAATAGATTCAGTGTTAAGTAGAAGATCCCAGTCATTTATTTTTTTAAATATATTTTTATTGATTTCAGAGAGGAAGAGAGAGGGAGAGAGAGAGAGAAATATTAATGATGAGAATCATCGATAGGCTGCCTCCTGTTGGGGATTGAGCCTGCAGCCGGGGCATGTGCCCTGACCTAGTATCAAACCCAGACTTCCTGGTTCATAGGTCAATGCTCAACCATTGAGCCATGCTGGTCAGGCCCCAGTCATTTATGAAATAATAAATTATAACTAAAGGAAATTCAGAATTTAGGGAGAGAATTTACTTAACTTGCTGACCTTAAAAGAAACTTAGTAATGATGCCTTTCTCATATAAATAGAGGTTGTTCAAAGAAATTAATTATAAAAAATGTAATCCATTTCTAATAATGAAATTAAAATGTATTTATTTAATTTAGTTCCTTTGTCACATGCTTTGAGTTAATGATCAGAACTTTCAGCCCTAGCTGGGTAGTTCAGTTGGTTAGAGCATCTCCTGATATACTAAGGTTGCAGGTTCGATCCCTGGGCAAGACACATATAAGAATCAACTGATGAATGCATAAATAAGTGGAACACCAAATCCATGTTTTTCTCCCTTCATCTCTCTAAAATCAATTTAAAAAAACTTTAATAATATTCTAAAATTTATTTTTCATTTAATGGCCATTTGTTTGCAAGTATAATGGAGCAAGTCAGAATAATGCTTAGTCTATTATTAAAAGAAATAAGGTCTATTATGGCATTGTTGTTTTTAAATCTTATTTTGCATTTTATAGATCAATTAGTCTGTATTTTTTAATAAGTATTTTGAGAACAACTTTAAAATTCTTAATAAGTTGCCAAGGCTTTAAAAAATGGCAAAAAGTGCCAGTAGACATTTGAGGCCTATTTTATCAAATGTATTAAAGTCACTAAAAATAGAATGTTTTATATTGTTTAACTTTTCAATTTTTGGATCAAGAAAACCCTTAGGCCATTTCAGATTTCAAAGCTATTATTTAAATTTTTTTTTTTTTAAGAACTAAAGCAGTGTCAGTATTATAAGAATGGACAATATTATTTTTAAAAATATATATATTTTTGATTTCAGAAAGGAAGGGAGAGGGAGAAAGATGGAAACATCAACAATGAGAGAGAATCATTAACAGTGAGAGTGAATCATTGATTGGCTGCCTCCTGCATACCCCCTACTGGGGATCAAGTCTGCAACCCAGGCATATGTATTGATGGGAATGGAACCATGACCTCCTGGTTCATAGGTCAATGCTCAACCACGCTGGCCGGGTGACAGTATTCTTTTCAACATAAATATGGGTAGGACCAGTATTAGTTACATAAAATTGTGCAGTAATTGCAGTTTGCCCTCTCCAGTTTCCTTCACCTTTCTTTTAGCATTAGCCGTATTTTCTCCTTTAATGCTTCCTGTGAGTAGCTTGCAGGTGGGGAATTTTAAGTAGGGGAAACCTGAAAAAAGATTGGTTTAATCATAGGAATGAATTATATTGGAATTTCAGGTATAAATGAGAGGAGTACCCCTCAATCATACTATATTAGCTTTCTTAAGAGAAAGTGAAAATAAAGTAAAAATAAAACATTCTCATCGAGACTTTAATCCAGCCCTGGCTCAGTTGGTTGGAACATTGTCCTGTGGACCAAAAGGTCTCGGGTTCGATTCCCAGTCAGGCACATACCTAAGTTGCACATATGGGAGGCAACCAGTTGATTTAAAAAAAAAAAGACTCTAGTCCAAAACTGTCACATCTGCATAAAGTACTTAAAATGATCCCATTTGCACTTAAAATATTTACTATTTCAGTTTAAACTGGGAGTATTTGAGAAAAAAATAAGAATGCCACTTATGATGAAATGGCAAGACTCTAGCCCCTAAGAAATTGTTTGCTATTTTTATTGATTTGTTGACGAATTTTTAATTTACCCTTATTTACAAATAATTAATTTCATCACCATCTTTGAAAATTTTATATTCCATTTACACCAGTCATATATATTTTAATAATTAACCAGCAAGTAAATTCAAATGATCCCATTAGTCTATTGCTTATGAACAAACTGCCACTTAAACCAGACGGTAGAAAACTTAGGTTGTAATTCTGTATGTCCTATGAACTCCTCAGAGTGTTTCTAGATTGCTTAAGGTTTGAAAGCAACAAAACTTCTCAAGAGACAAATGGATAAAAACGGGAAGACTTGCTCTGACGTTCAGAGTTGGAGATGGTGACAGCATTGTGAGTCTCATCGGAAACTTCCATGCTCTTCATACTATGTGATCTCTTTATGGAAGAATTTAACGACAACACAGCCGGTGTTAGAAAGGCAATGTTTTTGAATACCCTTCTTATGCTAGGGGAGCCAAAAGAGAAAAAAAAATAGGGATGGCACTGAAGAGATATTCTTACTGTGCTGTTACTGATCTCAGCCCTGACTTTGGTGTTCATGTGTCACACATGTCTGGAACACCCATTTTAAATAAATATTGAAACTGTATTGGTCTATACATAGTGCTGTTTGCACAGTTGCATAATTACCAGGGGGGATGGGGATTATGCCTTGAACAGTACAGCTTTTACTCTTTCTGTTGCCATTCAAAATCTTGATCATTTTTGTTGTGATATGTTGACCTGCAACACTGGGAGAAAGAGAGAGCTGCAGAAACACCCACTTTATGAATTATATATAAAGCTCAAGAGCTCTACTAGCCTTTATTTAAACAATCATTCTACTGAAGAAAAGAAAAGGGCTTCTAGATACTAAATCCCTGCATTGAGCTCCATTAACAAATGTGTTTCTCTTTGTATCTGGGATAGGAGGTGCTTTGATCCCTCCTAGGTATATATTTCAATCTCAGTAACTTGGTGGTATATTGTGGTTCACATCTTCTCTATGTACTTTTTGTCAAATACAGCAAATACTGTATTCAGTGCTAGACTTTGAATTTCCTTTCTGATTTTGAGAGAGTTCTGATATTGCTACCAAACGAATATACGGTGCATTTTTTTTAACTCAATAAAGCTACTGCTTTCCTCTTCAGGCCGAGTGAGTGTGTGTTGTGTGAGAGTGTATGTAGGTATGCAGATGTGTGTCTGTGTCACCACTTGTGTGTTTTGGTACACATGCATTTGTATATGGCTTTTCCTACCTTGGGAAGCCACAAAACAAAACAGTATAACTCTGTGATGAGAAAATAGACTTGACTACAAAATACCATCAACATGTGCAAACTGAGTTTTGGAATCTTTGATTTGGCATCTCCTGGAATAGTATGTAATTTGCAAGTGAAGTTTTCACCAAAATAAAAACCCTTCCCCTTATTTTGCAGCTCTTTCCCTGCCCTCCCCTGTGTTGCAGGTTTGTAATGTTTGAGCACAATTCCTGGGTGAATTTCCTATTTGCCTCTGTGCGTGTTATTTGTGGCAGAGAACTGTGCCTGGTCAGCAGCTCTAGACCTGGAGCCCGTGGACACTATATGCTGGGCTTCAGTGGAAAGAGAGACCAGCTTAATTTTGTCCCAGGTGAAGGAGTCCAGCGGTCCCTAGCCTGGACTACGGGAAGGTTCCCACATCCTCTTTGCCCCATTAGTTGAGATGACTTGCAGTAGGAAATGTCCAGTGAGTGTTAAGAACTTATTGAAAGATGTCTTAGTTTTATAGTTTTGTTGTTAGCGCAAAAAGTGAGCATTTTTACTTCTATATTAAATGTTAAATAAAGTAAATGTTGATTTAATATTTATATTCTTAGATGCTTAGCAAACCAGAATCAGCAGTTAGTTTTGAAAACTTTCCCTTAAATCCTTGGATTTTGGAACTGTGAAGTTGGGTTGGTGGAAACATAAGCTCTTTGAAATTCCTAGGTGGCAGAGCCATGAATTATAATCCTGAACAGCTAAACTTGAAATTGTCATTTATGAAATTTTAATTCTTTTGATGCAGCCAATTAAAAGGCACTTTTTAAAAAGCTGCTGCTGAGAGTTTAAACAAAGGAGAGGTAACTAATCTCCCTGGACAGGTAGCATCTGAGTAAATAAAACCCCTCTCTGCTCTTCCAATAATTTGAAAATATTACAGTGATTAAGCTCTCATGATTCTATTTTATAGTGTTTTGGAAAACTCTAGTTAACATTTGTAATACAGACATCACTGATACGCTAAAACTTATATGTTATACAGTGGCGAATACAATTTAGCATTGCCCAGATATTGTTGCTTTGACACAACAGTTCCAAAATCAACAGACAAATGGGAAGATAGAACTATAAATGCTATTTCTCAGTTAACTCAGCATGGATATAAAAGGTTAAAGTAGGCTTTATTCATCTTTTCCCATTTTACTTTCCTGATTAAAGCAGGCATTTTAATAAACTGATTCGAATATATATCTTTCCAAAATGCATTGCTGGTGAAGTTTTAAAAATTGTCTCTTTTTTAAAAAATTGCCAAGATTGAGCTTCAATTAGTGAAATCAGTAGCACTTCATTTTTCCTAAATCTACCTTTGAAGGAAAAATCATCTTTGGGTTATCACCTAAATATTTTATGTAGGTGCTCTAAAGAATTAACCACATTACAAAAGACAATACCTGCTTTAAATGTCTCTATTTTATTTCATTTCTTCCAGTTTGATTTACTTTTTAGCCCATAATGTCACAGTATTCTCTCTTTGGCAAGGCTCAATGCACCTTAAGTTTTTTTTAACAAGTGGTAATAAACTGAGGGCAGACACTGTCAGAAAAAGTCAAAGGAAGATGAAAAAAATGCAGTTAGGATGGGATGGGGGAAATAGTGGTGGCCTCAAGCCATGTAACGTTTGATTTCGTTATTGGTCACAGAAAATTAATATTCTTGGAATGCTCTGGGCTCAGGGCATAACCACGGGAGGAGCACTTGGCAGTGCCGTCCTGCATTTGGACAAAGACAGATTGTGTTAGATCCTTGTGGTGTGTTAACTACACCAAGCTTATGGGAAACCAGAATGAATTACATCCTTCCCCTCAATTTTCTCCTAATAAAATGATGGCCAAAATACAGCAAAAAAAAAAAAGACATGTAATACTCTTTGTAATACTTTAAACAATAAAAAATTTTTAAAAAAATGATGGCCATAACTTTGTTTCATGGCTGGTACCACAAAGATAAACAGAAAAGGATATTAGTCTTTAACCATTTCAGGATTTTTTTTGGGTAAACATTTGTAAAATTGAAATAGTTGTAGAAGGTAAGAACATAAAATATAGCTATTGGAGAGCAAATGATATGCCCTTGGCATATTTTGCTTAGCCTGTTAACTGATATTACTTCCACAGGATAGGAGTAAGAAATGAAAGAGAAAACCTCTGAGTCCATAGATTATAGAAAAGTCGGCTTGCCTGAATGGGCTCAGTAGACCTAAGCCATCCTAACTTATTAGCCAATCTAATTAAAATGTAATGCTTTTAATTCTGACACCTGATGTACACACAAAGGTGTCATAATAATGATTATCAGTTCATCTCAGCTCACCTTGTTATAAAGAGAGGCCATTTGGGGACAGTGGTGCATTATTTCCCAATTAGGACAGCAACCTTTTCTGTTTGCATGGAGCCTTGTTACTGAATCAAATACTTCTTTCTCTGCATGCTCTTACTTACATAGTTCATTTGCGTTTCACTGGCATAGCCCTAGTTACATGAAAGTGATACATTTCAGCATTAGTTTAACATGCCTGTGTTTTATTTTGTAATGAAAATTTCATATCCGATCATTGGACTGTCAATAACTTGCACTCTTTTTCACAATGTTTACAGCAACCGTTATGACCTCTGGGACTACTGCCACAGTAGCCCTGTTGAGAGACGGTATTGAGCTGGTTGTCGCCAGTGTTGGGGATAGCCGGGCTATTTTGTGTAGAAAAGGAAAATCCATCAAGCTGACCATTGACCATACTCCGGAGAGAAAAGATGAAAAAGAAAGGTACCACCTCCAACTGATGAGGATGTTTTTTATGTCTTTTCATGGGAATGCAACCTTGCATTTTAAACTGACCTCATGCTTAAATATAACCGTGCCTTGTTTTTTGGTCTTAACTTCTTCTGGATCAGGATCAAGAAGTGTGGCGGTTTTGTGGCGTGGAATAGTTTGGGACAGCCTCATGTGAATGGCAGACTTGCGATGACAAGGAGTCTTGGAGACTTGGATCTTAAAAGCAGTGGTGTGATAGCAGAACCAGAAACAAAGAGGATTCAGGTAAGAAAGGACGTGCAAACACTTGCTACACATGCAAGGAATGAAAGCAGGTGTCTCCAGCTACAAGCTTTCTTGGAAACCTTAAGCGAAGCCAGTAACTTTTGAAAGGGAGTAATTAAGGGAAGGATAGAGAAACTTTCCAGCGAACATAAGATACCACCTTCCAGGCCCACTGTATGAGGATGTGTTTGGTTTTGGTGTCACCCACTGTGGAATTCTCGTAGAATGGCGCCCCTGCTCTTCCTTACCGGCACCTGATGGATCGTGTAGCATCACCGCCACTTGGAAGCTAACCTGACTTTCCTTTTCCATCACACTAGAGCATCGCGTTACCTCGGTTTCTGTGACATCCTTCGCCTGCTACTAAGTAATGTCCACATTACCCAACACGTCCCAACATTTCCCTCTCTGCAGTCCCTGTCCCACGCTAGTACCTGGCACAGTGTAGTGGAGGCTTCCAATGATGGTAGCAAATGTTTGTTAATTAACAGAACGATTTCATGCATGATAGATAGCCCACTTATACTTGTTTTCTCTAACAAATACTTATCCAGTATTTACTATATGCCAGGCTCTATTCAAAATAGCTACTACTGCCCCATTTTATAGAGAAAACAAATCTAGAGCATATGGAGCCCAACTTACCTCTGTTTGCTCAGCAGAAAAATAGAGGCAGGTTTCTAACTCGGAAGCCTGACTCCAGAGACGGAGCCTTCCACCATTACAGCTTGCAGCTCCTGGCACCCCGCCATCTGGCTGCTTCCTTTGTGGTGTTACTAAGTAAATGTTAGGTTTGTCCTTGGTGGTTGATGCTAAATGTTGCTACTTTTGCCCTAAATACAAGCCTTCGATTTTCACTCTGTTTGCCTACAAGCTGTAAACACAGATGACCGCTCAGCAAACAAATCTTCGAATTATGAAGATTATTCCAAGGCCGAGTGTAGTTTATAATCCTATGAATTTGGTTTTATTGCAGCTACATCATGCCCATGACAGCTTCTTGGTCCTCACTACGGATGGAATTAACTTCATGGTGAATAGTCAAGAGATTTGTGACTTCGTCAATCAGTGCCATGATCCCACTGAAGCGGCCCATGCAGTGACTGAACAGGTGATACAGCTGAGCTTCTGCTAGAAAAGTCCCCCTGGGGGAGGGTGGGGGGACGGGGTGGGAGAGGACAAACCCAGGTGCAGGTTTTGGTACAGCCTGGAGGGGCCCCCACAGACTTGATTTCTTTGAATCTTGTGTTTCAGCTCCAGTGTACAATGAATTTTACACTTGACTCTGTAATATTTCCAATTTAAAGCATTTTTACACCCTAGCTGTTTGGCTCAGTGGTAGTGTTGGCCTGCGGACTGAAGGGTCCTGGGTTCGATTCTGGTCAAGGGCACGTGCCCGGGTTGCAGGCTCAATCCCCAGTAGGGGGTGTGCAGGAGGCAGCTGATCAATGATTCTCTCTCATCATGGATGTTTCTATCTCTTTCTCCCTCTCCCTTCCTCTCTGAAATCAATAAAAATATATTTTAAAAAAAGCACAAACACAAGAAAACATTTTTTACAATTCTCCCAAATAGTTAATTAAAATTAATATGCCAAGAAAATGTGCTATGTTTATTTTTTGGCTTTGTACACATCTTGAAATAATAGTAGCAGCACATAGTAAATTATAATGGTAAATACTAATATTGCTTACTATGTGTCAGATACTCTTCTGTTGATATGTACCTAGTATTTGACTCACTAATTATCACAATGACTCTGTAAGGTTGGAACTAGTTTTATCTCTTTCTAATGAATGAGGGAAACTGAGGCACAGAGATGAAATTGATTTAGTCAAGGTCACAGAACTATTAAGCTGCAGAATATTTGTTGTCTGTTGGGCTTCAAACTATAGATTAAGCAATTTGTATAGACAGCAATTTGGACAGCCTGTTTCCCAAGTCCAATCCCTTGACTATTAAATTAGACTCTCCAAGTCATTACCCAATATAGGAACACTATAGCATGTCAACTTCTGGTTTCTGAGGATGGGTGTGAAAAAAACAAATACCAAAAGGTGTGTGGATGTGTTGTATGTCACTCTGTTGGTCAGAACTAAAATTTGGAAGCTGGATAATATCGGTAGAGAAAACGTAAAATTTCCATGTGTTGTGTAATATCTTTTTGGATAGCTTTTTAAGTTAGAGCCATCACCGATCATTAGAGGCACAGTTTAATTCAACAGCTATTTTGGCATTTCCTGATTTTTTTACATTTTCAATCCTGGAGTCAAATTTGGTCCAAATTTTTTTTTTAGAGTTTAAAGTGAAAGCGAGTTTACTAGTGAAGCAATGGGACAGAGAGATGGCTACTCCACAGGGAGAGCAGCATGGCTCACATTTTAAGTATTAATATTTGTAATTAAGGCAATAAGACATTACTTAAAAAGCATTATTTGCTCAAAAATAAATGGGTAAGCATGAATGATTCACTTGGTTACTATGTGTGCTCATGAGATTAAGAAAACGGTCCTAGTTTCATTGATGATCACTTCCTTCCTAATTTTCAACTTCCTGTCTTGATATAATGTGTTCTAATTCATGAGGACAATGCAATTTACAATGACTGCATGGCATTCCACTATATTTGAGTACCACAAGTCCTTTAACCGTTCCCCTAATCAGCAAATTTAGTTCATATTCACCTTGCCCTTTTGTAGGGGGAACACTATAATAAACTTCTTATATCTATTTGTGCATATCTATTTTCTTCAGGTATTGTTTTCTTAGGTTAAAGTCTTATAAGTAAAATTGCTAGGTGAAGAATACACAGTATTCTAAAGCTTTTAATCTTTACCAATTGCCCTTCAGAGATATTCCAATTTACACTTTTCTAGTATGTTTTATAGCTTATATTTCTCATCAGTGTACAGCTTGCTTTTTCCATTATCTTATACTGGAGCAGTGGTTCTCAACCTTCTGGCCCTTTAAATACAGTTCCTCATGTTGTGACCCAACCATAAAATTATTTTCGTTGCTACTTCATAACTGTAATGTTGCTACTGTTATGAATCGTAATGTAAATATCTGATATGCAGGATGGTCTTAGGCGACCCCTGTGAAAGGGTTGTTCGACCGCCAAAGGGGTCACGACCCACAGGTTGAGAACCACTGTACTAGAGGCTTGATGCACGAAATTCATGCAAGAGTAGGCCTTCCTTCCTCCAGCTGCCAGCAGGCACCTGGGACCCGGGCTTCCCTTGCAGCCCCGGCTTCGTCCAGAAAGATGTCTGGTCTAATTAGCATATTATGCTTTTATTATTATAAATGTATGCTTGTCTTTTTCATGATTATTGTAAGAAGTTGCTATATACTAATTATAGTAGTACTTTGTCTGATAGTGCAATTTTTTTCTGTCTTTCAATTTGTTTGTAAAACTTTTTTACTTTCTGAAGCTTTTTCATCAGATATTTTGATCAACCTTTTCCTTCACAGTTCCAGCCTGAGGCTATGAGGTCTTTTGAAATACATTTGCTGTTAAATATAATCCCAAGTACTTCTTACCATGCTGATTATCTCATTTGCTGTTTGAATTAATTCCTGAAATTGATTTATAGTTCTCCTACTGTATGAAATTTAGTTTATGCCACCTTTTCATTTTGTAGGGAGCATAAACTTTCTTGTAGTTATAACTTTATACATGTCCACTTCCTTAGGTTATTATTTCTTTAGGCTAAATTCCTGGAAACAGAATTGCTAGGTAAGGACTAACCCCTTGTGAATCTATACCTTGTATTAGTTCCTATTCTAAATACTTGGCAGATATTTTCTTCTTCGGGAGCTGCATATCTTATACCTTAGTCCACTCGTGTTTCTGTTGCCAAAATGGCTGCAGTGGAATATAGTCAGTGTGGTTGTTTTGGGTCATCTGTTATTCTACGTGCAATCTGATAAACTGGGCATTGACACCCGGTGACTGATACTGCTATATGTGTGTGTGTGTGTGTGTGTGTGTGTGTGTGTGTGTGTGTGTGTGTGTATAGCTTTTTGCTTATTTCTAAGACTCATAAGAAAGGATAAATCTAAAACATTAAAGCATTCTATATTTCAACTTGCTATGTAATATCCTATCTATTAAAGAGGGAATATGCAAATTGACTGCCCTGCCCTCAAAGATGGTGGTGCCCAAACACTGTGACGTAATTGGGTTAGTAACTTTGTGAAATCAGTTTGACTTGCCAGAGGAAGGATATCTCTTTGTACAGACTGATTTCCAGTGTTTTTCTCTTCCTTCCTGCCAAACCCTGCAGGCAATGCTGTATGGTGCTGAAGACAACAGTACGGTCATCGTGGTGCCGTTTGGTGCTTGGGGGAAATACAAGAACTCCGAAATCAACTTCTCCTTCAGCCGAAGCTTCGCCTCCAGTGGACGATGGGCCTGAGTGCTGGCTGGGACTTCGAGTTTCTGTGCATCAGTTTTTCACTAAGTATATAAAGAAACTGACTAGATAAAAACGTCAACTGTACCAGAGTAACCCTGTGACTCCCTAGATCAGTACACAAGCTAGTGTAAGCTTAGTAACCATTTACATAACCATTAACCATGTCAGAAACAGCCGTCATATTTATGTTCAACTGTACATACTTGGTATAAATGTATGTGTAATTCAGTTACTGTGAGTCTCTAAGCTGAGTGAGCACATGAAAAGTGGTTTGATATACTTGCTGAGTACTACATTTCTAATTTTAAAAACTCTTAGGCAGCTATGAGTTTCTTTTGATCACTTTTGTTTATCCATTTGAACAGGTTCTTGTCTTCAAATTCTTTAATAGTAGTCAGTATTTTTCACAATTCCTCAATGTATTGTCAGCAAATGTTTTAATTTTTAATAACTGTACCAAGGAATTAGTGTGGAAACTGAGTTCTCTGTGACTATATTTTGTATTCTGGACCACTTAACTGGTCAGTGTAACAATGTGAAAGAAATTAATTCAGATAATATGACATGCTAAATTGTATACATATTTCTAAACAGTGCACTTGTATTTTTCAACTGTGTCACAAGGTCCCCCTTCTCCCCCAATTCATTCCTATTCTGTAGCTAAGAATACTATAGAGATATGACTATTCCTTCATATCAGAACAGAATGCACAGGCTGAGTCCTCTGGTCAAAGCTATTCAAAGTTAAATACCAATGGTATCAAGTATCTTGTATAAAGTTTCATTTGTTGTCTCTAACACTTTTTGTATATAGTATGTTTATGTCATTTTTGTATAGACTAAGCAATTTGGATAATTTGTCAGTAATTATACCATATTCACTGATACTGCTATATGTATATGTGTGTGTGTGTGTGTGTGTGTGTAGCTTTTTGCTTATTTCTAAGACTCATAAGAAAGGATAAATCTAAAACATTAAAGCATTCTATATTTCAACTTGCTATGTAATATCCTATCTATTAAAGAGGGAATATGCAAATTGACCCTCACGCTGTCACAAAGATGGTGGCATACACAGCCAATAAGGAGGGAATATGCTAATTGACTGCCACACCCTCAAAGATGGTGGTGCCCAAAGCCACAAGATCGTGGCACCCAGTTCCCTTAGCCCCGCCGGGGCGGCAGGTGCGTGGCAAGGCTGGGCCCACCCCCAGGCAGGCCCGGCCACTCCACTAGCCTGCCTCCAGAGTCCCCCAGTCCCCTCAGCCCACCAGCCGCCCAGGGC